ATCAGATGGCTAGATGGTATTACCCCTTTTTGCTATGCATTGCCAAATTTGGACTTGTAATTTCCAAACTCGATTGGTTCGATGAACTGGTGAGAGCGCACTTAGTAACTCAAAGCGCTACCATATCTGGTAGGGGAGGTAACTGATGAGAACGCACTATATCTGACACTAAATCTGTCCCGATGCGGTCGGTGTCGCTTGTGTGCCAAATATTTACTGTGCCACAGATCGGAAATGTTTGTACTAGTACCATTTAGCGGAAATCACTGAGGAATACGTCGCCTTTAAGACCTAGGCTTGACAGTCTATAGATTCATTTTTCAGTCAACATCTAAGGCCATATCACTTTCGGACCTTATTTCTATAATGAAATTAGGTGTTACTTCCAGATAATTTGGTTCTCCAGGTTGTCTGGGTGGTTAGTTAGCTAGGAAAGCATTAGAGATTAAAAAAACCACACAAAACATGCTAGCTGTCTACATTTTATCACATTCCAACCTGGGGCTAAGTACAACAGATGCATCAGGACCTAAAATGTTAAAGCCATCCCTGCCATTAGGCACTCTAAAAGCTCCCCATAATCAACAAAAATTATTAAAAAAGACGCAAACATGATAGGAAACGCCAATATAACGGTTGCTTAATATACCTGGGAAGCACCACCCTGTCCAACCAGGTTCCTGTTAGCACGACACCAGATACCCAATTGCGTAATGACTTCAGATTCCCTTGCATCTAAACAACATTTTTTTATTTATGGTTTTAGCGCATAAAAGCAAACATTTCAACTGTCAAATAGTGGTTTAGCAAGTTACACAACTCGTTTCCTTGAGAACCGGCATTAATTCAAGTTGGCCTTCGATAAGGTTCATTCGAAGGTGAGGGTTTGCGTGAGCGATTTCTTCAAACAGCGTTCATTACAGTTAGGAACAATAAGCTTGCCGTGCGCGAGTCTTTCCAGCACCTGCTCACTCGTGGGAACAATAACCCCGCTGTCCGCAACTCTTCTAGACACTTGTTGACTGCAGTCAGGAACAGTAAATGGTGATGACATTTTTCAAAAATGAGTAAATGAGAATACCGATATTTGTAAGAGAGTTTTTACATCAATCAACTGACTATCCCCCTCCGACCGTCAAATAATTCCGGGTTCAAGCCTTGACTTACCTCGATGTGAAGGGGAATAGAAATGGCGAATGTCAAGCGAATATCGCTAAAAAATTCACGTGGCCTGCTTATAAAGAGGTTTTGGTCTCGGTCTTATTATTATTATTATTTCCAAAGCTTGGACCTAGCACGACTGATGGGAGGGGAAACTGGTGCACCAGTGGAAGTCAGCTCCAAAGCTTTGCCCAAAGGCGATGACTACCCCGTCCCGCTAGGTCCAGCGCTATCACTATTCTCCTTCTCCTTCTCCTCCTCTACCTCTGTATCTAACTCCCTCTCATTATTCATTATCTACCCATAATCTAATACATTCTATAGTTTTTTACGTCAGATTGCTAGTAAGACGCTTGTGGAATTTCCTTATAATGGCGTCTCCAAGGCGTTCCCTCAACTCTCTAATCTCTTCTGATATTTTGGAATACATTGATGACCCGGTGCGTCTTTCGAGCCGACGTTTGTCTTTGAAATCTTGCCAGAGAGTTTGAACATCGCCGGTATAATCTTGGGGTGACCCGGACCGTCGAGAGCCGGAATTACAGTCGCGACCGCCAACACCATTTTTGATGTCGCGAACTTCATAGCCCACTAGGCTTATATTGCGGTCGAGATCGTTGATTTTTTGTAGTTTCGCCGTGATCTTTTGATAGCAGACAATTCCGCAGTTAATACTAGTGATTGAACTAGCATGAACACGACGAACACGAATTGATTGAGAACATTTTTGAATTGCGAGATTTGTGAATAATTTCGCAAAAGATGAACATAAAGTTACGGCTCGCTTCATAGCGCGTTTTTATAGACTTCAGCTCCAGACTACAGAATATGACATGTAACATTAGCGAACGCGAAATTTGTCGCTCATGTGTCGATCACAATAACCAGCGAAAATGAATCCAATTATGACTCGGTACATCTGTGCTGAAATCCTAAGTAACTAATTCGTCGCTTCATTATGAATTCAAACGCAAAACAAGACTCTATTGGGTAAATTTTTGAATAGACGAATTAGCTATATTACACAACCCGTATTAAATGAATTAAGGGTCGGGCCATAGTATTAGTTGCTTTTTGTATGCGGGAGATGATCAATTGGAACACGACGGATCCGTGATTTATTGATAATAAATGGGCCAGTAATAAATCAAGCCACAACCATTTTTGCTAAGCTCAACTCTCTTATTTCCATCTCGTCCGCTTTTTGGACCTCTTCTAGTAACCATACAATATGAGAAAGCACTTTCTCTACCATGATTTTCATATCATCATCCTCGTATACAACAACGATAGTTTCTCTTGATCGTCCAGTGTGCATTCAAGGAAGTAGAATTCCTTTGCGTCCGTCACAATTGCTTTTCTTCAACCTTGCGTTCTATTCACGTGAATCGAAAATCGAATTTACGTGATCAAACCTTACAAAAACAGCGAATCGCTATGCATACTTGTGTACTCACCAATGATGACTCCATTTGTACGCTCGCCTGCGCAATGCCTTGCAAAAAGTTTTCCCTACAACGCCAATAATCCGCCCTGTCGCACAAGACTATCCCTATAATCGGTTTTACCTTGCCCGTTTTTTCCTAGTGGGACGGAATAGTGGAGTGCACTTGCAATATAATTCCGCATCAGCTGGTCATTTCGGGGTGAGTATTTTCCACCGCTCCATCATTTTCATTGGTATACTGCACGCATGTAATTTTTGAGCCCTTCGAGAGTTGCATGCTCGATATTCACTGCCCACCTGAATGACTTCCCCCGTTTCAGCTTACGACAACACCGAATTCTGCAACACAACAGCTGATTAGTAAAAAATCTTTTTCAGAATATAGTCTGATCGTGCCCTGAGGGAACGGTTTTTGCCAAGAAAATTTATACATATACGTACCATGAACAGACTTATTGAGCTGTGCTCGCAACAAGCGAGTTGGTCAAGCAATTCCTGCTCACGGCCCGAAGTGGCGGTTGGCACCGGTGGCTCGACTATGACATGAATATGTCGCTTTGGTGGTGCAGACCCCTAGACGTGCGTTGGAAAGTGATAACAAAATATTCTATGTTCCGGTTCCTATGTATTGATTATTCCGATTAATCGTCTCAATAATATACGAATCCTAATGGGTTATAATGAACTTTGGCTATAATACGTGGGTGGTTCAAAAAGTTTTGACACAAGACATAAAATTTTTATTTACATAATAAATATCAATCTAGCTGTTTCATTCCTTCGAAATACTCTCCTTTAACCTCTATACAACGTCTCAGCCGTCTACGCCAACTCTGAAAGCACT